AGAGCCGAGTGTGCCCACCGAGCCCTCCAGGGACCCCTGCACGGGCATCCCAGCCTGGGGAACTCCCGCATGGGGCATCCCTGCATGGGAAACTCCCGGATGGGGCATCCCAGCCTGGGGAACTCCCGCATGGGGCATCCCTGCATGGGAAACTCCCGCATGGGGCATCCCTGCATGGGGAACTCCTGGATGGGGCATCCCTGGATGGGGAACTCCTGCACAGGGTATTCCTGCCCGCCCCCTGGTACTCACAGGCCCCGGAGGATGAGCGGCACCTGGAAGGAGACCACCGCCTCCTTCTGCCTCACCACGAAGAGCACGGGCCGGTCCTTGTAGTGCGACAGGACATTGACCGACACCCGCACGCCCTCGGTCTGCGGGGACAGGGGCAGGTGAGGTGTTGGCAGGGCAGGTCGGGCCGCGGCAGCTCCAACCGAAGGCTGGACTTTGCTCGGCCGCCGTGGCAGAAGCTGTCGTGCCCTGAGCACCCCAAACCCCCGGCATCCCGGGGACAGGCGGGGGGGACGCGGCGGCGGTGACCACCCCTGCTCACCGTGTTCCTCCGGACGCTGTGGTTGAAGGCGTAGATGTTGAGCAGGTTGGCGTCCACCCAGTCGATGTAGGTGGTGTTGAACCGCGCGTCCTTGTGCTGCATGTCGCGGCGGTCGTGGGACAGGGGCTGGGGCCGGACGGGCGGCGGGGGCAGCAGGGCCCCGGCCAGGAGCGCCCAGCCCAGCACGGCCGCCCCGGCGCCCGACATCCCGCCAGCATCCCCGGCCAAGGTCCACGGGGCGGGACGGCACGGACGGCAAGGGAAGGGAAGGGACGGGACGGGACGGGACGGGACGGGACGGGACGGGACGGGACGGACGGACGGACGGACGGACGGGAGCTCAGCCGGGGTGCGGCCGGGAGCGCTGCCCCATGGTCGGGCCGGTGCGGGGCGGGGGCGGTGCGGGAGCTGCTGGCGGATCCCGGCGCCGATCCCGGTCGCGATCCCGGTCCCGGTTCCCTCTCCCCTTCCCGTTCCGCACCGCGGTAAACACGGACCGGCGGTGACGTCAGGCCCGGCGCACGCTGAGTGCCCGGCCGGGGAAGTGACGCGGCGGGCGGGGCGGGGGAACCGGCCCGAACTCGGGGGGACCGACCCGACCCCCGGGGGGACCGAACCCGGGGGACTGGCCCGCGCTGCAGCCCCGGGGGGACCGGCCCTAGCCAGGGCGCACCGAGCGCCGTTCGCGACCCTGCGGGGAAGCCCGGCTCCAAAGGGAACCACACCGGGGATGGATGCCCTGTCCTACCGGGGAGCCCCTGTCCCATATAAGACCCCATAAGGGAACCCTGCTCCATATGGAACCCCATAAGGGAAGCTCTGTTCTATAGGGGAGCCCCGAGTCTATATAGGACCCCGGCTGCACAGGAATCCTGTACAGGATGCCCAGTTCCCTGTATAACCCCACTGAAAACGCCCTGGTCTGTAGGGCAGATCCTGTCCCAAACAGAACTCTGTAGGGGAGCCCCTGGTCCATAGGAGACCCCATATGGAGACCCTGTCCCAACAGGAAAGCCCCGGTGCCATGCAGCACTGCAGACACCCACCCAAACCTCTTGCCCAAAGTCCGTGAGGACATGGAAGAATCGTGCCAGGGACGGGGCGGGTCTGCCCCATCCCTTTCTCCTGCTGCTCTCCGGATGCCTACCGGGGTTCCTGCAGCCTCTCCCGTTTGTTGCACCCTTCACCACCAGACATGGAATAATTCAAAGGAACTTGAGAGTTTTCCCAGGCTTGGAGGAAGCAGGAGTGATGCCACACCACATTTTTGGTGTGTCTCCCAAAACAACCCCCCCATCCCAGCTGTTGCCCAGCCTCCGGCTTCCAGGCCTCTCTCCAGCAGCTCTGTGGCCTTTACATCGCATTTTATTTGCCTGAAATTGGGAGTTGTGATTTAAAATCCCCCTCTGAAAGGGCTCAGGCCCGTGTCACCTCACTCAGAGCCATTTTCCTGGGCTGGCTCTGACATCCAGGGCCGCTGCCTCTGGCTCTGCTCCACGGGACAAACGCCACGAGACAAGGCACTGCTGCTATTGTGCACTTTATTTCTCCGGGCCCTCCTGTCCCTGAGGATCCCACAGTTTGGAGTCTGCCCATCGTTTCCAGGTGCAGGTGGTGGCGCTGGCAGCAGATGGGACAACCTCAGGGACAGACATGCGGGAAGAGAAGCAGAATTCCGGCCGGCTCCTCGGCTCTGGTGAACTCGAGTCGCCTCTTGCAGGATGGCTGTGAGCGGGACTGCGTGGGGATGTGCACTCCCTATTTATTCCAGGGCCATTATTGGGGAGAAATCACTCGGGAATCGAACACAAGCCGATGTCCTGTCGAGGGCCAGAATAAACCAGTTCCCTTCACCTGCAGCACCGTGCTCACAGGTTTGGGTGCAGCACCCAGATCTGCACGGGGAAAGGAGGAAAAACAGACAAAAACAGCCCCAAACGGAGTGGGGGGAAGCAGGAATTAAACGAGGAGCAAGGATCTGGCTGAGCACAACTCCCAGAGCCGGGGAGGACCCGCAGTGGGAGGTTTGGCAGCACCTGCCCGGCCCCATGGAGACCTCCAGGAGTGACCGAGACAGGGCAGAGACAGCTGGGCACACACACACACACACACAGGCTGCGACACGGTGGGTGAAACATTGACATTTATATCGAAATATGCACTAACAGTGACTTCTACCAGCCGATGCATTTTTGCCAAAGCAGAATCACAATGGTTGTGTCCCGGGGAAGGCTCGGGGCAGCTGGTGGGCAGTGAGGGGAGATACCGGAGCCTCCCTGCTCCTGCCTCACCCTCCCCCAGCACCTCACAAGACTCTGTCATTTCACATCTTTTGTTTGTTTTCCTCTCTGCTGCATAAACATGAAACTGGACACGCTCACTCAGAGGAGGTCACAGCTCCAGCCCAGCCCTGTCCCGAGGGACATCCAGAGCTGGAACTGAAGTTTTCTCACAGGAGGCACTCAGATTTCAGCACTGGGTGAGCAGCAGGCAGAGCCCCTCTTGCCCACAACACCTCTCAGGTGAGCAGGGCAGTTTCCTGCCAGGCAGCAACAAGCAGAGCCGAGAGCACTGAACCAGCACAGAGCGTGGCACCTCAGCAAGCCAAGCCTAAGCAGAGCCAGCAGAGCCTCCCTGGTGAGGCAGAGCCTGCCAAATTCCCCGGGCCACTCGGCACCCTGCCCACGGGGCTGGCTCACAGCGAGCACAGGGTGCCGAGCGAAGTCAGGGCTTTACTGCAGAGTACATTCCTGGTTAGCATCTCTTCAGCCAAATGCAGCAGCAGCAGCAGGGAGGGAGGGAAGCAGGGATGCAGAGATTAAACTAGCACACGGCTTTTCTCGCAAGCCTGGAGATGGAAAGCTCTCAGGGAGCAAGAATGGGTTTTATCCCAGCTCCCTGAGGGGGCTGGGGATGGGATAAGCCCTTCCCCAGGAACTCTCCACTGCATTGTACTTTTAACATTTGATTTTCCACTTGCCCTTCCCCAGTATTTCCAGCCACAAGCTTATGGGAAGCATGAGCAGTGTTCCCTCAAATCCTGTCCTGCAAGGCCGTGGAGCTCCAGGGAGCAGCATCCCTGGTCTGATCATGGGGGTAGGGTTTGATCCCTCCTCTCCCACGGCACTCTGCAACTCCCTGCATCTGATCCTGGCCAGGGGAATGCTTCATCTTTCCTTCATCTGTGTGTAGATCACATATACTGGAAACAAAACACACACTATGCATGCAATCCAGGCAGGAATCCTGCTATGATCAAAGCTACAGGAGGAGGGGGATGAGGTGGGACGTTAGGGGATTCCTCAACGCTAGGTCAGAGTTACACACCAGCCCCTTGGCTACAGCAAAGGGCAGACAGACTATGTACAGTACCTATGGGCTTCAGCAAAGCCACCTGACACCTGAACATCCCTCCCTTGGAGCACAGAGTGAAGCTCTCTGTTCCTCCCAGGTTTACCTGCCTGGAATCCCATGAGAAGCACAAACCCAGCGTGGCACCACTGAGCTGCAGCTCCGGCAGGTAAGGCAGGGAGGAACAGACTTAGTTTAAAATAGGTTATTTGCAAGTTATCAATTCATCTAGGGCTCTGCCTCTCAGGTCCAAACCATTTCTTTCTGGAAGAGAAGCTCTCAGTTTTAAATGAAAAGTCATTTTGCTACAAGCAGCCCTCTGAACTACAAACCAAGCTAAAACCCCACTGTGTGAGCCACAGCCCTTCAGGAGGGCACCTGCCCCTCTGGCTCCCTTGCTAGAGGTGAGGAGCAGTGTCCAGGGCAGGAGAAGCTACGTCTTCACTTTTTACTCTAAGAGGCTGTAGTTTATACAAGTAAACCAGTAGTGATAAGGAAATATACACCTTGGGATCTGTAAAGCTTCAGAGTGATTTAGGCCTTGCAGCCAGGGGCTCTTCATGTGGGTTTGCTTTAGAAAAAAAGGATGTAACAGTCATACTTAATAAAAAAATAGAAAAAAACTGCAAAGAGCCTGGGCACCTCAGAGGGACATCTGTCAGTTCCAGAAGAGCGAGGAAGTGACTGCCAATTACTGGATCATTAAAATCCTACACTGAGCAACTGCTAAAAGCCAGCAACATCACGGGCAGCAGGAGCAGGGGCCAGCAGCAGCACCCAAATGGGAACATTCCCAGGAGAGCTGCGAGGGAGGAAGGGAAGGTGCCCCCGCTAGCAGGACTGGGGAAACGAGCATGAGACAAGCACTGGGGAGTGTTACACGAGTTCAGGTAACTGTTTGCTTCTTTAAATTTCTGAATTCCAGTTTCAAGCTGCTTCAGAAAGGAGTGAGAAAGCAACACTTGTCATTTAACGCCCCCTCAGTAAACAAACAAACAACAAACAAACAAACAAAAACCCCAAACAAAAAAAAAAAAAAACCAACAAAACCGCCTAAAAGGTGGAACCGAGTTTGGAAAAATGCATCTGTTCTGGCTTTTGCAAGTGGAATGTGATTCTTGTTGCCAGGCAAATACACAGAGCACGATGGCTGCAGCCAGGAACGGTGAGCCAGGAGTGGGCTGTCGGACAGGCTACAAGGGGTCTAGGACAACCACAGGGCAACAAGACATGAGAGGGGCACAGAGTGACAGTCCTGTTCTCGTTTTAAATGAGGAATGGTTTAAAAGTAAAACTCTTCTTCAGCTAATTTCCTCCTGCAATAAAACCAACCCAGCCGGCCCTCGTATGTACAAGACCAGTTAAACATGAGCCTTCCCCCTCAAAACACTAGGTACGGACATCCGGTAACATTCTACAATGGAAAGTGCTTTAAGAAAGAAGGATTCTGTAGTGCCAGTGACAGAACTGATCTGATGGGCTGGATGATGCTCTCCACGCTGACAGCAGCGACTCAGGCCAGGGCAGCTCGTTTCTCCTCGGGGGTCTCCTCCAGCAGCTGCATGATCAGTTCGTGGAGGGGCTTGCAGACCTTGGCGTAGCCCCCGCCCGTCAGGTGCAGGAAGTCGAACATGTCGTGGTAGGAGATGGTGCCATCCGAGTGCACGAAGCCCACGTCCACGTCCAGCAGCTGCACGTTGGGCAGTTTGGGGAGCGAGGCTTTCAGCAGATGGTTCACCTTGGCGTTCTTCTGCCGCAGTGGGTTTGGCTTCTCTCCACGAGGTAGCAGGCCCTGGCACAAGGGGAGGCAGAAAAGAGCTTTGTGTGACTCTGATGGCATCAAGAGTCCTGCTTTCCCTTCCAACTCGGGCTGCCTGTCAGGATTTAGGATGTCTGTGACAAGAGGAACTCATCCCTTGAATCAGAATTTATCCATTCAGGCCTAATGTGAAATGCAAGTGAAGGAGCCAGATGAGCTACAAGCTACTGACTGCCAGGTAAACTGCTTTCTTTTATTTTTTAAATGTACCAGCTTGTGCTCTTTCCATACACTTTCAGCTCCTCAGCAAGACAGGCAAGCAGCTTCCTAAGGACAAGGAAGCCAACTAGGATTCCCAGTGCCAGCTGGAATCTGGGCACCTATCTTCCCCTCACAGGACTTCCCCAGCAACATTAAGAAGTGGGATTGTTACTGGGAATGAGTCCACCCAGCTCTGGAAGGGCTAAAGGAGAGCTCCTGCAAAACCAAGCCATGGAGGAGAGGCACAAAGCAAAGGACAGATTAAGGGACTGCCCTCCCAGCACTGCCCAGTGACTCCCAGTAAGGCAGAGCCCAGGGAGCAGGGACGTACCAGCACAATCACTTTGGCCTGTGGCTGCTGGGTGTTTATCAGGCGCACGATGGCCTCGATTCCCCCTGCGACTTCTTCTGCTGTGTTTTCATGGTTATTTGTTCCAACCCAAACAACAATGACCTGCAAAGAGAGAAAAATGTTTCCAGCTTTTCCAGGGCAAGTGCTAACAGGGCTGATGACCCTGAAATCCCTGCATAAACATCATCTGTAGCCAAAAAACTGCAGGGAGAGTTGGGTTTGAGAGTTCAGCCCCAGGGCTGGCACTGCCCACTGCTCTCAGGAAAGGCACTTGTGCCAGGCTTGCAGCTGCAGGTGACCTTCACCTGGATACCCTCACTAACTCTTCAGCTCATACCTTGGGTTTGATGTTCTCCAGTTCACCGTTCTTCAGTCTCCATAGAACATGTCCCGTGGTGTCTCCACCAATCCCAAAATTCAGTGCATGGAGCGGGGAGAAGAGCTCTCGCCATATCTGCAAGCAGAAACCAATGTGCTGCTTCAGAGCAGCATCCTGGCTGTGAAGCAAAGACACCACACGGTGTCCTCAAGGTCACTGAGAGCCACGAGCCCTTCTCTGAAAACTCATTCCACAAAGGGCATTTAGACAAGGAATGACATTTTATTTGGAGTCAGTAGAGATGGAGCTCTCAGACCTGGCACAAAGGAAGGAAAGATCTCTGGAGCAGTGATTTGCTGAACTCATCAGAGCCTCCGAGTGCTGATCTATTGCAGACCACGGTGTCCCTAAGCACAGGGCCTTTGAAGAAGGAATCTATGACCTGATTAAGTCCTTCTCATCCCCAGGTAACAAAACTAGAACAAAGGGAAGCAGCTCTTGCAGAACAAAGCTGCTCAGCTGCCACCACAGCAGAAGAGAACTGTTATTTCCCTCAATAATTTTAGGGAAGAACCAGTGGACCAGTGCCTCTGGCACCCTGAACTCTACAGGACTGAGTGTGTTCTGGGCATGCCAGGTACAGCCACAGGGAATTCGATGGCTCTCAGGAGGCTGGAATCTGAGAGCTGAGGGGCAGAGCCTGTGTGCCAAAATGCAGGCAGCTGGTCGTGGCCTCAGAGAGGGAGGCAAAAGCAGCCAGGTAAAGCAGTGTCCAGGCACTGGGGAGTTCAGGAAGCAGGGCAGGAACGCCTCAGGAGACGGCAGTGAAAACGGGAACAGTGGAAGTCATCAGTGTTACACGTGATCAGCCTCTAGTGGGTCAGAGAGAGATGCTCCAATTGCTCTGACCCACCCCTCCCTCCCTTCATCCCTACCTCATACTGCTGTAGCAACTGCACCATGGAGTCCCCCACGAAGAGCACGTCGGGCTCCTTGTCTTTGCAGTCCAGGACAAACCGATTGTGCTGTCAAAGAGAGCAGCAAGGTGAGCAGCAGGTGACAATTGCTCCTGGGCATCCATCTCTGCTGCAGGACAGGGACGGCTGCCCAACCAGTTTCCCCTGCTGCCATGCCCTCCAGCACCCCTGCCTGCATTAATCCCTGAGCTGCTGGACACTGCTCCCAACTCCACAAGCCCATGAGGATCCAGGGTTGGATGAAACTTGGCATGGTTTAGTTTATGACCATTGCTCCTTGTCCTGTCACTGAGCAGAGTCAGGCCCCATCTTCTGACACCCCTTGGAGATTTTGCATGGATTGATGGGATCTCCTCTCAGTCTTCTCAGGACTAACCCAGCTCAGCTCCTGCAGTCACTCCTCACCAGAGAGATGCTCCAGACCCCTCTTCCTTTGCTCCATCATGGCAGGACACACAGGTGTGAAGCTGCCAGCTCCAAGCTGTTGTGACCTCAGGGTCCCAAGTGTGGCCTGGGCAGCACTGGCCCAACATCACCCCACTAATGAGGATCCACCTGCCAGCCTTACCTGTGACATCCACCTGTCATCTCCCTGAATGTCCTCGGCGGCGTGTGGGACTGCTGCCGGGTTGGAGTCCCCCATGCCCATTCTGTTCCTGTGGAAAGAACAGTTCACACTCACTGCTTCCAGCAGCTCCCACAGCAGCAGGGCTGGGAAAGGGCTGCTGGAATCTGCTGCACCACAGCTCCTGCCTGTTCCTGGGCGTGCTGGCAGAGAACAACAACACGGATGTTGCTCCATGCCAGAGTGACTCTGCAGCAGGCATTCCCCTGGAGCCAGGCACAGCCATCCCAGCATGGAGAACAAAGCACAGCTCCGAGGATGCTCTGCAGCCCCACACCTGAGCCATGCAGGGCTTTAACAACTCAGCAACAACCGCTGAGACTCCGAGGATAAGTCCCTATTAGCACCCAGAGATCCAGCTTACAACTGCTGAGCTCCACAGTCCAGGTGGATAATCTGGCTTCGGGAGCAGAGCATCGTGGTGGGATTGATCCCAGAATCCCAGACCCGTTACAAACTGGGAGGGATCTCTGGAGATCATCCAGTGCAACCCCCCTGCCAAGGCGGGGTCACCTGGAGCAGGCGACACGGGAATGCATCCAGGTGGGTTTGGAATGTGTGCAGAGAGAGAGAGAGATCCCACGATCTCCCTGGGCAGCTGCTCCAGCGCTCTGCCACCATCCATGGAAAGAAGATCTTCCCCACCTTGAGGTGGAATTTGCATTTTAGTTTATGGCCACTGCTCCTTGTCCTGATGCTGAGCATCACTAAAGGGAGTCTGGAGCCATGCTCTGACACTCCTTGGAGATATTTCTATGGATTGATGGAATTCCTTTCTCCAGGCTGACCAGGCCCAGCTCCCAGCTCTCCCCATCAGAGAGATGCTCTAGCCCTTCATCATCTTTGCAGACCCCGAAGGATCTACAGCGGGAGGAGCAGCGGGATGATGCTTCCCGCGGCCGCCGCCTGCAGCCCGGTGGGGGCACGCCGCACCCGCAGCCCATCGCGGCGGGCTGGGCTCAGCAGGGCGGCTTCCCCCCGCGCCCCCTCCCCTTCCTCCTCCCGCCGCCCCCCGCGCCCCTCCCCGGTGTTCCCGGGCCGGCGCCGCCCCGCGCCGCGGTCCCCCCGCACTCACGGCGGCTGCGGCTCCTTCCCCCGCGACTCCATGGCGGGCGCGTCCCCTCCGCTCGGCCCCGCGCCTGCGCCGCTTCCGCTTCCGCCTCCCCGCGCGCGCCCCGGCCGCCGCTTCCGCCCCGCGCCCGCGGAAGTGCCACCTCCCGCCGTGACGTCACTGCACCGCTCCCGTGACGTCATGCTGCCCCGAGGAGAAGCGGGACCCAGGTGGGGAGTGATGGAGTCACTCCCTGACCGGGTGATGTCATAAGAAGCCTTTTGCTGTTTATCGTGGGTTTCACACTCAAACCATAGCCCACGTCCCAGCCCTCGCCTTGACGTCATTCTACCAGCCCTGATGTCACTCTGCCCCCAAAATGAGGCGTGACCTGCATGTGCGGGGTCCCTGATGACCCCGCAAGGAGTGATGTCACAAGAACAAGTTTCCAATTCCCAGAGGGTTTTGCCCCAATACTGAAACAGCTCCCTGGCCCCAGGGAGCACCAGATGGGGCGGTCTCACCATGACATCATTCAGCTATTCCCATTCGGGAGTGACGTCAGACTCCCATATCTCACTGGTTTCTCCCCAAAACCGCAGCACCAACCGCCCACCGCAGCCCCTCTCCGTGACGTCATTCTACCGCCCTGTGACGTCATTCTCCTCCCGAAGTGAGGCGTGACCCAGGTGTTTGCGGGTGGGGGGCGGGGTCTCCCTGATGTCGTGACGTCACGAGCAGGACGTCTCCCACTTCCCGCGGGTTTCTCCCCAAAACCCGCAGCGCGCCTTCCTCCCCTCCGCGTCCGCCGCGCGGGGGCGCCCGGCGCGGTCCGCGCGCCGTGACGCCAGCGGTGGCGTCAGAGCGCCGCCTCCGTCTCCATGGCAGCCGCCCGCCCCCCGGCGCCCCCCCGCGGATGAGCTCACGCGGTGCCGCAGCCCCGCGGGGGGGTTCGCTCCGCGCGACAAGATGGCGGCGGCGGCTGCGGCGGGAGGAGGCGGCGGAGCGGGGGCTCCCCCCGCGGCCCCCCGGCTCTCCCCGGCCCCGCCGCCCCCGCGGCCCCCCGGGCCCGCCCGCATCGGCTACTACGAGATCGAGCGCACCATCGGCAAGGGCAACTTCGCCGTGGTGAAGCTCGCCACGCACCTGGTGACCCGCGCCAAGGTGAGTCCCCCCGCGGGGGTCGCGGCGCTGCCCCGGTGAGCGGGGACGGAGCGGGGAGAGGCCCCGAGCGCCGCCAGCTCCGAGCGGGCGCTGCCGGGGAGCGGGGCCGCTGTCACGGGTGACACGGGTGTCCCCGCGGGTCCCGTGGCACCGGGATAACGTGGAGGTGGAGCGGGGGGGATGCTCCCGTGGTACCCGGGGATGCTCCCGGCGTGCCGGGGGGGACGCGGAGGGCAAGCGGGGTTCAGGTCGTTTCTTACCCAAACGGTGAGAATCGGTCGTGGCCGGGTCTCCAGGGCCGTGGGAAAGCGCAGGGAATAGCGCGAGGGCCTCCCGAGGGAGCGGCGGATCCAGGTGGATCCAGGTACGGCCGCGCTCCTAGGTGAGCCCCGGAACATGGCAGGAGATCCGGGTGGATCCAGGCACGGGCGAGCCCTGGAGCACGGCAGGAGATCCGCCAGGATCGGCACTGTCGCTGCCGGTGCTGCCGGTCGTGCCCGTGGCACCGAGCTGCCGGGGCTCGCCGTGCTGCATGCAGCAGCGCTACACCGGGACCTTCCCGGAGCTGCGGCAGGAGCAGGGCTGGCATGGGGGCTGGCATGGGCAGGCAGCAGACAGGCCTGAACCAAAACCCTGCTCTTGGCTCCGTGCTGGCTCCTTGGAAGCGCTGCAGAGAGAGGATGGTGTTGGCTGGGATTGTCCCTCTGTCAATTCCTGGGGTTGTCCCTCTGTCAATTCCTGGGGTTGCCCCTCTGTCACTTTCAGGGATTGTCCCTCTGTCAGTTCCCCGGGCTGTCCCTCTGTCACTTTCAGGGATTGTCCCTCTGTCACTTTCAGGGATTGTCCCTCTGTCAATTCCCAGGGCTGTCCCTCTGTCACTTTCAGGGGTTGCCCCTCTGTCACTTTCAAGGATTGTCCCTCTGTCACTTTCAGGGATTGTCCCTCTGTCACCCTCTGGGCTTGCCCCTCTGTCAGTTTAAGGAGCAGCATTGTTTTGAAACAGGAGGAGAAATCCACCATCGCCTTGGTTTGTTGGAGCTCTGGCTCTTTGCCCGGATAATAAAGTGAAATTAATTTCAGGGGCTATTTAAACATCAGTTATAACACCTCCTGGACAGTTCTTTTCAGAGCTGGGCTGTATTTGCCTGCCCTGACAGCTATTTTGTGCCTGCAAGTGCTCGATGCCACAATTTAACTTGCACTTGAGATGTGCTGTGCTGTTGTTCTCCCCACGATGAGCCAGAACCTTGCTGAGAGAAATGGGGTGATGGGTTCAGGTGCTCCGAGTGCGAGAGACTGACCCCTCTGAGTGGAGGTCACTCCTGGAAAAAGAGGGATCTCGCTCCAAGTTGCTTTCCTGTTCCTGTTTCCAGACTCCCTCCTTGGGTCAAGGTTTCTTCTCAGTCGTGCTGACTCTGAAGTTTGCAAAATACCAAAGCAGAGACCATCTTTTGTGCGGGAATAGTTGATTTTGTCTAGAGAATGGCAGAATATGCACACGAATTTTGTCTGGAAATTGTGTTCCACGTTTACAGGGCCAAGGCCAGATTTTGAACGTTGGCTTTGGGTGATGGAAGGGGATACTAAGCTTGGAAAGCTTTGCTTTATAGCAGTGTACACTCATTCCTACTGCCCTGGAGTGACCGAGGGTGGGTTGTGGACTTCAGGAATTGGCTTTCTGGTGGGATGATGAGGTGCTGGGGGCTCTGGAGCAGCAATTTGACCTGCAGCACGTTCCCTGCATGGAGGAGATCCAGTCCCTGTCCCTCTGAACTCGGGGGACTCCCCGAGCCTGGAGAAATACCTGTGCTGGAACAACTGCCATCTGTTCAGCTGAGCTTGGAGCTGAAACTTGACCTGGAAGCTTTCTCAAGTCCGAGGTCAGGTTTCCTTTCAAATCCCAGCCTCTGGAGAGGAGTGCGAGTGAATGGATTGGATTCTGCTTGCAGACCCTGAGCACTGTGGGTTCAGTACTTTTCCTTCGCTGACAGAACTGTTGCTGTTGGCTCTGGGAGAGAAGTGGGGAAGGAGAAAGGAGCTGCTTGGTTCAGGCTCTGGGACTCAAGCGGTTAGAAGGGAGGTGTTGATGTAAATGCGTTGGAAAGGGCAAATCCTTATGGGGAAGCGTTTTTGACTGGCAGCAGAAATACAAAATAATGCTACTGCGAACTTGTCTTCATCACAGTTACACTTTTAACACTTTGACTTAATGGAAACAACTTGGAAGTGAGTAAAACCTTGGCAAAATGGTCGCATTTAGGGATCTGAAAGAATTCTTTGATCACGAAACGCAAGCACAGCCTGGTTGCTGCCTGTGCTAGCAGCCCCTTCCTGAGGTGATCCTGCTCTTCCAGTAGGAGCTGCGTAAGAGACCCGGGCAGTTCAAATATAGCCACCAAATCCCTGCACAAACTTGACCCCATGTCACATTCTCTTAGAGAAAAGCGGGTTTGCTCGTCACGGCCCCTCCTTGGGAACCGCGCTCCTCCACCGTCTCAGAAGGAATTCCACTGTGAGTGTCTGTGTGAGCTTGGAAATTGATGTACCCCGTGATTTTGGGCCTTTTCCAGAAGGTGAAATTAGTGACTGGTGTGCATTGCTGAGCCTGGAATTTGAGGTGGTCTGTGGATCAGTGTTGGATCCTGTTTTCCTTTCCGGTGGACATTTACCAGGTCAAGTGGACTTTGACATGACAGCTCGAGATAACATTCCTGGCCTGTGTCCCCTTTTCCCTAAAAAGAGAAATGGAGGATAGTTGGGTGCCTGGTCTGATCTTAAAGGATGAGGATTTTCCTGGCCCTTGGGAAGTTGAGCACTGCATTTATTTAGGGAGAGGAGTAGGGTGCCTGGCCCTGCTGGGCTGGCACGTTCTGCTGACACCGAACATTGCAGTTTACATAGAACTGCATTTCAGGAGCTGAATGTGGGTCAGCAGTGCTGGGGACACTGAGGAAGGGGAATGTTAATCATCCCAAAGGGCAGGAGGCCTGTATTCATAATTGTCTCTGCTGGAGCTGATGGAATAGAAGGGAACAGTCGGCAATTTACGTATTAAGCAAGGCAGCAATTTACATTCAGTCCCTGCCCATGCAAAGTTGGACTCTTGTGCTCTGTCAGAGCTGCTCTGATGGCTGGGCAGGAGCTGGAGCCACTGCTCTGACCAGGATGAATTTGGCACCTCTGGGGTGTCTTGTTGCATCCCTCCTTCCGTCCCCCTTCCTTATATCTCTTCTCATCTTCTGCAAGAAACCCTTGTTTCTGTGCTAAAAATCTTCAGAGTGACCTGCTGAATGAATTGTTTTCTACAGAATTTCCGTTTATAAATCATCCAAGTGACTTCATTAGAATTCCAGCTCTGTTCAGGCGGTGGGGTTGTTTTTAATGCCACGTTTTTTCATGAGGGTTGGTCAGGGAATGTTCCTGAGTGTGCCAAGGAGCACATACCCTCTGTTCCCGTGCCCTTTGGCTGTTGTGTGTGAGCCTTCAGGAGCTGTTGGGGCACAGGAGGACAGGGAGGGACGCTGTGGTCGCTGGGCACTGCTGAGAGCTCTCTGCTGTCCTGGCTCCATCCCTTCCATCAGCTCCATGTGGCTGGAGGTGCAGCTGGAGCACGGAGCAGTGCATACCTGCCGTGGCTGCACTGCTCTCATGGAGCTTTTTACTGGGAGACGGGAGTCACTTCCACATCCATCTTTCTCTTGAAATGGAATTGACAGTCCTGGGAGAACACAGCTCCTTCCCAAGTGCAGTGATCTTCCTGCTGTGCTGCCTTAGCTTCTTGCAGACTGGTTGTCAACTTAAGTTTGAGTTAAATTTCAGTAATACGTGGATGGGCAAAGCTCAGAGCAAGTTTCCTTGGCTGTCTGTTGTGAGATCCTGTTTAAGGGGTACCTGGAGTTGTTTTACAGGATAGTAACCCAAA